GACTTGTCCTTTGACTCGAGGCTGGGAGCTCCCTCTGTCGAGCACTTGCACCTATAGCACACGAGAGAAACCAGGGATCTTCACACCACAGGCAGCCAGGCAGATTTTTTTATTTATTTCTTGTCCAGGATGTTAAAAATTGCTAAATGCGTTAGAAAGCAAGTAAAATGAAAGGAAGGTAAGGTTTGTAGTGTGGTGTAGTAGAAAAAGAAGAGGCATGATGGGCCAGATCCATGCTACCTCTTGTTCTGCCAGTGAAGTACTCTGAAGGTCTGGTAAGAGCTGCAGGAAGAGATGCCCTTCCCAGATCCTAAGGAATCCAAGGGAACCAGCAGGTGATGGTCTCTTAAACTAGTGATGAGCATTTTCAGCCACATTTGTATAATTCTTTGTGATCTGTGGGTAATTAACTCAACAGTGCTGAATTCTTTGTTGTTGCAGTGATGATTGAACACCAAGGAATTGGGGTGGATCTGAGAGTGCTGCTGGGGGATATAGGGCACTTTGGAAATGAACTCCTGCCTCACTTGGCTCTGTCTCCCAGAGCAGCCTGGAGTGCACAACCTGGATTTCTCTCCAATGAAATTGTGCAGCCACAGAACCAGACTAGAGCAAGTTGGAAGTCCCCAAAAGTGTCCAGTGGGGGAGGGGGAGGAGGGGAGTGTCAGATTAACCATTTCCCTTCACAGGTAGCTCCTGCTGTAGTGTACATGGTCACATCTAAATGGTCTGCACATTTTCAAGCATGCTGGCAGAGCTGGATTTCTCTGTTATACTAATTTTATTTCAGGTAGTACCTCCTTTTTAATCTTAGGATAGGCTGTCTGTATGAGACAGGCCTTCTAAGCTCAAATCCACTGATTTGATGACCCCACATGCAGAGGCAAGTCAGTGACAGACTCTCATGGGCAGCCTGTGCATCCCTAAAAGGCTCAGAGGCACTGCTGGCAGGGACTGTCTTCCCATCAGGAAATACAGGAAGCAAGTCTTCCTACCCCACATTACAAACTTGTTTGATAACACTTATTTTTAGGAATTTTGTGCACCCTGAACTACAGTGTTACTCTTTGGGAGCTGGTGCTAGAGAACACAACATTTTCCATTGCTTAAACTAAGGGACTTCCATCTCAAAAAAGAATTTGTGTGTTTTAAGTGTAGAAGAGAGGTTGAAATGACATGAATTAAACAAAATAGTGATGTTTCGATTTTAACTAACCCTTGAAGCCAGAACACTGCTCCAGCTGCACAGCCCCTGACAACACATGGCTGGACATCCATCCATCCATGCAGTGTTCTTTGAGTTCATTATAAGATGCAGAAAACCTATTTGCAGTTTCTCTCTGCTCACTGCCCTAATCAGAATAATAAAAGCAAACTATAGATCCCAAGGGCATGGTGATACAACCTCTTCCATCACCTTAAGCCAGTTTAATGACAGCCCAATTTAATCTCCTCAGGCCTGCCCTTGTTTTACTGCACTCTCCATGTTACATGTTGCAAGGCTCCAAGCAGGTTCTCCCTTTACAGCAGGGCAGGACCACTGAAATAAATGGAAATGCTATACCACAGAAATACCATGTAATACCATGCAAAGCAGACTCCAGGCACTTTATTTTACTCTCTGTTTTAAAAGAACACCTTCCCTGGTAGTGAGCTATGGACAAATGTTAACAACACTGCACTGGTATTTTCCCCTTCTCTTTTTCCTCTCTGGAGCCTGTGGGGTGAGACTGAAAAAAGTAAACAAGCCTACAAACATAGGAGCCTACTTTTATCTTCCTGAATCTTAGTATAGGAATTCCAAACAAAAGGAAAATCAACTGACATTAACAGCTCCTTACATCATTCTAGCCTATTAAAGCCCTTGGAAAAATAACTCTGCCACATGTCTCTGGACTTCACAGTTTGCTGGAGACCAAATTTCCCACAGCAGCATCCTTGGCACACCTCTCAGCAGCCCTTAAAATCAGTTTCCTAATTCTCTACTTTCCCTGCTTTGCATGCAGCTTCTCTTTGCTTGTGCAACTGCTCCTCTAACTGGCTAGTCTCTCTGTTGCTGATAGATCCTCTCACCAAATTGGTATTTTTGCTATATGCTGCACATGTTTTGGGTAAAGACTGGCAATATTTCAAGCCATCATTTAACTACTCTCTGTACTTTATGCTTTTGATTCTGTACTTGAAAATCTTTGTGACATGTATTGGAGTGATATATTGTTCAACACTTAGTTTTATCTAAACAATCTGATATTAATCATTCTATCTTATTCCCCCAATACAACTAACCATAAAATACCTCCATGTCACCATAACTGGATTTAGGGGAAAAGGGCTGTTTCCTTTGCAATCTTTTCTCAGTGTTTTGATAACCCAGTTCTTTCACCCCTGGGTAATACAAGTGTAATTCTGTCTGAGCATATGGGAATAATTTCTATTTATAGAAATATTGAGTGTTATTTAGTGAAGAACAAGCATGAGGAATTTAGGGTTTTAGTATTTATATCCATAATTAAAGAATATGTAGAAAAAATACATAAAATACTGAAAGGCAAGACTGCATCCAAGGTCTTGGTCATGTGGAGTTTTTTTGAGAAAATAAAAACAGTTTCTAGGATGTACCTTTTTCATAGTTTGCTTTGTGACCAAGATGTACACAATAACAGCTTTAGTACATTTAAATGTAACAAATAATGTTTTCATTAGCAACAGGGTTAGCATCAGTATTCCAGCTTGTGCTGACACTAGGAGATGCTCGTTTAGTTTTAAAAAAATCCATAAACATGAACACGGAATATGAAAGTCAGTTATGAAATCACCACCATTTTAAAGCTCACCTTCCTGTTTTCATACAAAGTTTTGTTTTATTTTACAGAGTTAAATATGGGCTGCCTGCTGACAGGCATGTGTTTCTGTAAAGAATATTTCAATTAAAGAATAAGCTAAAGTTGCAGCTAAAGCACTTCCACATTTCATTAAGTGGTTAAAAAAACACAAATGTACAGGCACTGATGAGCCTTTAGTTCTGGGCTCTGCCACAGGTGGCCCCCTCACTGCCAAGTGAGCTGCTCTGTGGAGTTTCTTTGTCAGCAGAGGGAAGGATGCTGAAATGATAGCACATCTGGATCTGGTCCTGTCATTTTACTAGTCTGTGTAACAGCTGCAGGCTCCAGCCCCATGCAAAGCCCAAGAGAAGTAACCTCTCTCTACTTAATCACTAGTTACTGCCTGCTTGATTGTTAAACAAAACAAACTAATACAAGAGTATTAAGTCTCTACCTAATTAATGGTTAGTGAATTGCTGGTTCATGTCTAATAGACAGCCCCACAATGCCTGCACTGTTTTCATACCTGGGATTTTTATAGCTCTAGGTTAACTTTGGCAAAGCAAAACCTAACCAGTGTGCTGCTCCATCTTCTAAATAAAAATTCTTTGGAATACGTGACTCAGCAATTCAATCTGCTATCAGGTTTACACCGTGAAAACCACTAGAGGGCACTGAACGGTCCTTTAAAAGAACTCATTTGAATAACCCAATTTTATTCAACAAATTTAAGTTTCCACAGGTAAGAGAACTACCCTGACGAACACCGACTTGCAGGCCTCACTAACGCAAGGCAATTAAAAGTGCTGAGGACCAGGCTCAGCCCTGGCCTGGTGCCCACGGACTCACCCGTCCCGGCGGGGGCGCAGCAGCACCCGGGGGGGCCCGAGCAGCGGCTCCTCCTCCCCTGGAGGCTCCACTGGCCAAACAGTTGGTACCAGCAACTTGTGCCGAGGCAGGAGCAAGAACCAACGCGGTGCTCTGACGTTTAGAGCGGCATTTTAGTGTCCTCTGCCTCTAGTAGGACACGAGAGCGCTTTTCAGCCAGGGATGATGCCCTTTTACCTGCACCTCAGGCAACCTGGCTCTTCAGTGGCGTCCCAGGCACCGCAGGAGGTGGTTGGTGCTTCACGCCCCTTAACGGACTTGTCTTTTTCCCCCATGAGAGCAAAGCTGCAGCAGCTCCGAGCAGG